AGCAGGAATCCACCCAGCACATCTATGGGATCCACCAAGCAGAGTCCTGCTCCAACCCAGGGGAGGGGGGATCCACTTTCCCAGTGATTCTACTCCCATGTGAGATCTGCATGGGGGGGTTCGGGGGGGATCCACCTGGAAGCTCCTCTGCTCCCTTGTGCCCTCTCTTGCACCCCCCAGACACGCACCTGCCCTGGTGCACGCAGGCTCTGGGCGTGGCTGCCCTGTGCAAGGCCGCGGAAAGCACTGCCACTCCCCCCACGCCCGGGCATGTCGGCGCCAGCCACCACCACCGCCACGCCCGAACACGTCTGCAGGGCCAGACGGACATGACTCCCAGGCAGGGCCAGATGCAAGTGCACCGAGGACACACAGCCATGCAGGCACAGAGGCATCCCTGGACATATGATGACATGCACAGGGGGTGCAGGCTGGGAGGGGTTGGGGAGGGCTGTGGGCTTGCCCCCCAAGACAGTGCTCATCTCCCTCCCATGCTAATGAGGATGACAAGGCCACATCTGGCCTGGGCCCTCAAGGAGCATTGTGGGGGGGTGTCACGGATGGGGATTTCCCAGGGAAGGAGCATTTGGTAGAGGCTGTAGGCCCAAGCCTGCTGTGGGGGGGCTGCGGGTCAATTAAAGTGCACTGGATGGGCTCAGGGTGGCAGGGAACTTCAGGTTGGGAGTAAAGGGCTGGGGGGTGGGCTGCGGGTCAGGAGTGAGGGGCACCAGCAGGGTTGGGTGGGGAGGCAGGGAGCTGTGGCTTGGAAGTGAGGGTCACCTGCCCCTCCCAGCCCTGCAGATACCCCTTGCTCCTGATCCACAGTCCCCTGCCCTTCCCCATTCCCGGGACCTGAATTTTAGGGGCTTTTGGACCATGAGTTTTTCCTCTCTCCACACTTCTCCTTCCCTATAAATATCCTGTGACTCAGCCCGGGAGCGGGAGTGCGGGCCTGGCAAGGGGTGGGTCAAGGCCCAGTTACTTCTCTAGGGGAAGGTGGGGTGGGAGCTGGTAGGAGCAAAGGGAAAACTGAGGCAGAGAGCAAGGTCCAGAGCTGCCTCCCTCTCCCCCCGCGAAGGGCAGTGAGGGGCTGGGCTGGGGTTGGAAACCCAGGTGTCCTGTCCACCCTCCCCAACCCAGGGCCCTGCTCTCCTCACTGAGCTCTCCTCCCCCACCCTGGGGTGAGGCAGAGGCCGAGCAACTCTCTGCATGCCAGGGCCGCCCTGAAACGGGGGCGGGGGAGGGGCAGTAGGAGCCCGGACGCCTGGGTTCTTTCCCCTCCTGTCTGGAGGGGGGTTCACAGTGGAGGGGGTGGGGCTGGAAGCCCGGACGCCTGGGGGCCTGACCGAGGCCCGG